AATAAAGATAATTAAGTACTTATTACTTTGCTGTATTTCAGAGATTCAATTGTAATATTTTTGTTAAAAGAATGGTACATTTTGGTTGATTCAGTTATAGAACATTAAAGCTTTTCCCCATACCGTGGAAAGTGGTGAAAACAAAATCCAAAGTAAGATTTCAGCTTGTTTTGACTTTAAAATTTAAACATAATTGATCTTTTTCAAGGAACTTATAGATGCTGGAGTTGTAGGTGACGTGATCCATATTCAACACTTGGAGCCGGTAAGAAAGCAAGTCGAACAGCAATAAAGCAAATACTGTAATATTGCAAATCCTCAGGGCCCCTGGTTGAACCCAGTAATTAAACATCAACATGGTATTTTAGTTTTAGAACCTTCATTTATTAAAAATCTGGGTCAATCTGTTGGGCCTACAGATCAGTCTTGTCCAAATTTTGTTCCAGGTTGGGTTTTATCACTTTGCTCACTCATTTGTGCGAGGAAACTGGAGGAATGAAGCCGAGAGCTCCTTTGCTCTTTTGGCTGAATCGTGCCACGACATCGATCTAATACATCACTGGGCTGGAGCGCGCAGGTAAACCATAGGAAAGCAGTCACCAATCAACTCCAGGTTTTCTGATGTTCTAAAATATTATGCAGTTGAATCTAAAATAAAGAAGTTGGTTGGTTAGCTGGTTGATATCACGTGTACCAGTTTATCACATGACTTAAACAGTGCAAATAGGACCTAGACCCATTACCCTGGTGGTTTTTGTTGGACCACAGTCTTTCAGTTTTCTAGTGGATGAGGCTGTTTTCTGTGTAGTCATTCTGTTTTTCTAAGACGAATCATTAACACAACAGTTGGTGTTTGGCAGGTGTGTGAAAGTCTCATCATTTGGCTCCGTCAGCCACTTTAACAAGGAAAACAAGGTATGTTGTCTGATTACACGTGGCCCAAGAGAAAGAATCATTAATTTATTGGAAATCAGTAACAACTGCAGATAGGAACAAACAGTTTTGATCAAACTTTGTTTTATAATTTTACAATAAACCCTTTTTACTGTAGGTCTGTTACATGAATTGTTGAATAGCACATGACATACTCAACAGTGCTGTTGTATTTTTGTGTCATTGAGATTCATTATATCCATGACATTTCTTTCCACTATTGCTAGCAGAACATTGTTATCTGTCAGCCAACAGGTGCTGCAGATCGCTGCCTGGATTGTGCAGTAGAAAGACAGTGTCCATACTCAGCATGCAAAATCTACCTGGACAGGGTGAAACAGGTTAATAGTTTAACACATAAGTTTCACAATTAAGAACTATACTTAACCCTGTGGGAGCATAATACTTTTTGTACATACATTTAGAAGTACTGTGTGTTTATGTATGTGTGCTAGGGTCACACTGGCTGGCCTGTATCCGTCATATGTCCGAGTTCGTTACCAGACATCGAGTCAGTAACTGAGGCGCTGAGGATTGGACCATATGGTCGCTGTGTGTATGAGTGTGACAACGATGTCTGCAGTAATCAGGTTAGAAAACACTGGTTTTATAACACACTCAAACTTGGCCCTTAATCTCCATGGTACAACATACTATCCCCACTAATTTTTGTTTCTGCGTGAATAATCCGCAGCGGTATCAAGCATATGGACAAAATCAACTCTAGTATCAGATCATGTCAATTCATATTTCTAGACTGCTGCTAATGCATCCAGACCTAAGGAATCAAAGTGTAAACCATATGTATATCAAAGCCTGGTTCAGTCTTCTTGAAATGTCCAAAAGATAAGACATATTCATGATTTATTTTCCTTTAAAAATACAGTCACGATTTACATTTAGAAGCATAATACTTTTGTCTTGTCTTGTTTATCTGTTTTGTTTGTTCAGGTTGTTAACATGGAGTTTGAAGGGGGCCTGACGGCAGCCTTTACCATGGTGGCATTCACTGAGGAGATATGCAATCGAAAAACAACCATCTATGGAAACAAGGTTGGACTGGAATGGATGTGGATTATGGAAAAAAATGGGAAATAAATATTAATATTTAAAAAACAAGAGCCGCTAATATAAAAAGAAGATATAGCACAAATATCAGTAGAGTGGACCATACACACTATTCCGCTAATAGTATGAGGACTTCCAAAAATTACAGTCATACATGTCTTTA